CATAAAAAAAATAGACTAGTAAGCACCACTTGATAGAATCTGTAAACTGGCATGTGAAAGTACAGGCAAGAGTCAAGACACACATGCAGCAACATAATTTCTTTTAAGTTGAAATTAGAATGTGTTTTTCATTATAAATTATTAAAAATTACAATCACTACATAATTTATTTTAAGTTGAAATTAGAATGTGTTTTTCATTATTAAGTATAAAAAATTGCAGTCACTACATTAAATACATGCAGAAACACCATAGGCTAATGCAGCATGAAACTGAAACTTTTATCACCGGTGTAAGTCAGAGATCTGACAATATATCTGAAACAGCTTCTTGGAACTTAATCTTTCATACTAATGGAGAGCAATGGCGTAGATCAATTATAACTAGGAAATGTAATAACACGTAAGGTACCAAAAAAGTGATTCTCTCTTAACCAAGCCACAAGAAACCCAAGTGCTCTGGAGCATTGGGTTTGTGGACTTCCATAGGAATTAAACATTAAGAATTTCACTCACTGATAATTGGATCAACATGGAATATGGAGTTAGAAGCAAGGTTTTAAAAGACGCTAGTTGAGCGGCGAGCTAGGGCCTAGCGCCTAGGCGGCTAGGCGGGGTGCCTAGGTGGACTAGGTGGATTTAAGTAAATCTATTATATTTTGTGTAAATAAGTGTGTTTATACTTAAAATATATATATTTTTTCATTCTAAACTACAAAATACAATGATATATATATTATGAAGTATTGGAACATAATTAAAATATGGTGAACATGCATATAATGTGTATTCATTTTAGCATTCAACAAGTCTCTTACAATTTATTGAAAAAAATAAAATGCAAAATGAAAGTTATCTATTTTTTGTCTAAGAAAGTCGCAACCTAGGCGGGTGCCTAGACAGGCTAGGCGGGTGCCTAGGCGGTCTAGGTGGGCGCCTCAGCAACTCAGCAACTCTAGGCGCCCTTTCTTAATTTTCAAACGCCTGGGCATTAATCGGGGCGGTGACCAACCGCCTAGCGCCTAGGCGGGGCCTAGGCAATGCTAGGCGGGGATTTTTAGAACAGTGGTTTGAAGTTTAGACTGGAAAACTAGCTTGGTTGTCTTATACACCAAATTCCGAAAATGAAAAATAATCCAAAAAATGAACAAATACTTATACTTTCATAATATTTTTGGTATCCAATTTATTTTCTATACAACAACACCCCATAAGTATCAGGACTAGCCCTGCATAATGCATTTCGAGCATCAACAAGAAAACTTGAAAAGATGTCAGGTGCACTGCAATAGTATCTCCTGAAGAAAGATTGGTGACTGACACTTCAAGAAGGATGTCAACTGTGAACTCCAACGCAAACATTTTCCCAGAAAAAAAGTGCTGGCCTCCTGAGTTGTATAAGCTACTTTCCAACGATTGAATATACTTAAACTTTTTCCTCAACTCTAGTTCAAAAAATGGGAAAACTCATCTTTCATCCCAACAAAACAACTTCAGTTACAAATTTGGCAAATACATGACAAAAAGTACATTACACAATGAGGCAATACAACATCACATAAGCAGAGCGGTCCGACTAAATATACTGCAAAGCCTCAAATTCAGAACTAACAGTAGAACGATAGCATTATATCAGATAACATCAGACCCTATAAATCCAACACCTGCCTTCAGATACAGAAGCTTCCCCAATTCACGTTAAGAAAAAAAAAAAAAAAAAAATTTCGACAGTGAATTGTAACAAAAAGAAAATCATCGAGAATGCGCATAACACCATATTTATTTATTATTGTTATCCCAATTATTGGTCATAACGGAAAGAATGCAAAAGAAAAGATTATAAGAAACAATATTACCAATTGTATATCCGCTCTTCTGAAGTAAAATCAAAGGTCTTTGCAATCTCTGGAGACGTAAACACACCATTCTCGGAAGCAGCAACTGAAACAGAACAAGAAATGATAAATGCACCATCCAACAAATTCTACAAACTTCAACGAACAAAAGTCTACGAATTAAAGTGATTAAAATTCAAATACTTGATTGGTTAAGCTCAATTGTCAGTATTTTTCCAACTGATAACAGTGGGAAACATGAAATGAAAGCTACGTCCGAATTTTCTCGGCAACCAAACAAAGAGTTAAGGGAAAGTGAGAGGGTAATAATCACCTGACAAGTGCTTAGGCTTAAGAGGATTGAAATGCCAGTAGGAGACACTGGTGCGACGACGTCGTTTGGAGAAGAGAAGAGGACGGAGCCTGTGAGCAGAGCACGACGACCAGAGGGAGGGGCCGGGGAATGTCGTTTGGAGAATCATCGTTTTGGAGAGAAACGCTCGTTTTTCGAGGTCGTATTTTCCAGGTGAGGAAATGACGATGAAGATAAACCCTGGTAGGACTTTAGCTTAAAGAAGGGTTTTAGTTTGTGGCAGAGAAATAGCGGAGGTAGCGGCTTGCGAATGGATCCCACTTCGGATTTGGTCCATGTGATTTTTTATTTTTTCCATAAAAATTTGATAAAAATTGATGGCACGAACCTCATTGATGTGATTATCAGTAATGATATTGATTAATGTTAGAATTTGAAGATTAAAGTGAGGGAGAGCTCAATTTCAAGGATCATTCATGATAAAAACTCGAATACGCATGGTAACTTTTTTGTAAGGACAATTAGATCTTAAATTAGATCGTTTGATCTATGAAAATGGTTTGATTCATCAAAATACAAACGGGTTAGATCTATAAAAATGCCACTTGTACGAGATGAAGGTTCATCAATTGAAGCTGCTTCTATGTATTTTATATTTTATGTAATTACGTTGAGCATCTTCAATTGATCATCTGAATCAGTTTCGAACAAAAGTTAGAAGGATGAGGTGGTTCATATCCAATCACACTTCCAAGCATAAGGAGTAAGAGGTTTAAGTTTAAATATCGTGAATGACAAATAAGCTCATAACCTTAATTACTATATTTTAATAATTTTTAAAATAAAATAACTGTTATTAGCATTCCAAAAAATCATTTTGCATCATTCACAAGTCTATTTTTCTTTCTAAATATATAGTGCTAATAACAATTTGCAAAATAAAAACTCTATATCAATTGGTTCATAAAACATTAAGACTTCCTAAATTAAACTTATGCTTGGATATAAACTTTTTAAGGAGCTTAAAAGATAGTCTCTTTACTTAAAATTTGACTTGATAGTATAATTAGAGATGCTTTATTTGTAATTAACTCGATTCTCAATTCTGAAAGAGGTTGTGAGTCTTGTGACCATCTGTCATCACATTTCAAGACAAGTTAATACTAATTAAGGGTGATTAGTGAGTGTTGAGAAAGTCAACAATCACATAAGATATTTGCCTAGAGTAGCATTTAATCAATGTTGATTTGAGCAAATATGTTGGAATGATTACCGTTCTATTAGTGTTGATTGTATCAATTAGCTAGATATTTACTTTCCTGTTTTGTATCAATTTTATCAATCATAAGAATCAATTATATGGTTATTTCCTATATATACTTGCATATTGTAATTTTAGAAATTATCAATAAAAAAATATTCAACCATATTAAAATTTAATTGTCGATACTATTGTTATGATGTTGTTACGATGTATTTATGTAATTCATTGTATAGTTTCAGTTACGAACCTAACTTCCCAACAACGGTGTATTTATGTAATTCATGTAATTGGGTTGATAACATTTATTGAAGAATCCTTTTTCTATATGGCCACAGCTACACAAGTGACCGACGCATCATCTGCATTCCAACCATTCCTAGCCGATGAAGAATCAATCGCCAAACCACTCGAAACTACCCAATTACCGGTATTCAAATTCGACGAGTACATGTCAACGAAGGCAAAGATGGTGGACAAAACGTTGAACGAGGCTGTGCCGTTGCAGTACCCCGAGAAAATCCACAGGGCAATGAGGTACTCGCTTTTGGCCAGCGAAAAGCGCGTGCGGCCGGTTTTATGTCTAGCCGCGTGTGAATTAGTCGGAGGGGACGAGTCGCTCGCAATCCCAACGGCTTGTGCTGTTGAAATGATCCACACCATGTCGCTTACTCACGATGATCTTCCTTGCATGGACAACGGCGATCTTCGTCGCGGAAAGCCTACCAACCACAAGGCTTTCGGGGAAGAAACCACGATTCTAGCCGGTGATGCGCTTCTTTCCCTTGCCCTTGAACACATTGCGACTAAGACAACAAAAGCAGTCTCGCCGGAGCGTGTGGTTCGAGCCATTGCAGAGATTGGTTTGGCCGTTGGATCATTAGGCCTCGTGGCGGGTCAAATGGCGGACATTCAAAGCGAAGGCAAAGAAATGACGCTGCGAGAACTTGAGTACATTCACGTGCATAAGACCGCGAAGCTCCTCGGGGCATCGGTGGTTTGTGGGGCAATCATCGGAGGAGCAGGTGAAGGGGAGGTGGAGAGGCTGAAGAATTGGGGAAGACAGCCGGGAAAGACTCGGCAAGCGATAAGGCGACGTATCCAAAGCTGATGGGGATTGAAGGGGCAAAGAATTTTGCAGCCCAGTTGGTGGCGCAAGCAGCGGAAGAGCTTGCTCATTTCGATACTGCTAGGGCGGCTCCGTTGTATTAGTTAGCCAATTATATTGCCAACAGACACATAGAGGAACAATTCTTACCGTTCTTTACTAAAATTTAAAAATAAATTAATGAATATACAGAGACTGTTTTTTCTTTTTCATTTTCTTTTGAGAAAATAAAGGAATTCATTTAAAGAGAAGTCTTAGGAACACCCAAAGCCTCTAAACCCTCAACTTTATAGATTATAGTGTTCTCGAGTAGTTCTAGTGTTTGAGTAGTTCATTGGTAGTGTTCAAGAGAAACCGACTCGAGGACACAGGTTTAACAATGAATTTAGTAATTTTTAGAAGACATACTCCATATGAACTTAGTGCGAGGCTATTAACGTGAGTACCTAATTATGATATCAAATCGACAGATTAACAAGCGAAAGGCATGATAATCACTCGTTTAACGATACTGATAATCACTCGTTCAAAATTGAACATAGTACAGTGAGAGTTCAACTTGTTGCTCCAATGAAAGCTACATTACAAAACCTTTTATCCTAGGAACATTACCCATCAGCCTCCAGAGTCTTTTTGCCTTTCCATGATCTACTCCGTTTCTTACGACTCCTCAGAGTAGCATCTCCATCCTTCCTTTCCTGCATGAAACAATTCAGAATCTCAAAAGATGCACAAAGCAAGAGAAAGAGCTCATGTCTTGTCTCTTCTCTGAATTGAAATTGAATTTCCAGGTGTTTCAACATTGGAGTTGACCCTTCCTAACCAACGTGAGAGATCAATGAGTTAATAATTAAACGCATGCATTTGTTTCGTTAAAAATCCCTTTTTAATAGGATAGTGAGACATCGAATTATTGCCGTCAACTATTGTGACTAGTCAGTAGTACAGTGGAGGGAGAGTGGTATAAACAATCTTTGCAAGCTCACCTGTAGAGAATGACGATCAGTGTTTTTCATCTTTTTCTTCTTACACGAAAGGGGGTTTGGACCCTGCAAGGTGGAAGAAAATAAGTCAATACATAAACATTGAAACAGTCATATTACGGGGTCATTTCCAACAGTCTTAGTATGCCAGCACAACATAAAAATTTGTATTAGCACAATCGATTTCCATGTAATTTCACCCAAAATTTGAAAAAAGAACAAGCGACAGAACAAAACAATGAACATCATCTCAATGATACAATCTATACTCTCAGAAACATCCAACATGATTTTGATTTCAAGAATAGATTTGAATGCAGAACAAGATAAGAATTAATAAACATGGAATAGGGGAACCACAGGATGTACGATTAACCAGTTCCCCTTACTTTATTTTAGACTCTTAGTTCTTTGACACTACTCACCCTTCTAGAATTCACTCTAGTCTAGTCCCCCATCCTCCGTGCAAGAATTGTATATGCATAGAAAATGAGGACGAGAAGTTGGTGAACACCTTCCAAACTAATCAGCAATATATAAATTGTTATCTTTGTTTAAGTATCCGGTGCACAAACAAAAATTTATTAAATTTCTATGATATTCAGGGAAGCATCTTTGTAGTGAAAATAACATCGTCGTGTGATAAAATACATATGTAATTTGATATCTTGATATGAGCATCTTGGTTAAAAAAAAGTGGAGAATAAAGTTTGAAAAGATACCGCAACATAAAACGCAGTGTAATTCTAGTAACTCATATTGATGTTAATCCACAATGCAGGATTGCAGCTATACTGAGGCCTATCCGTGTTTATAGTGTATACTATATATACTATAAACACAACAGGTGTCCTCCTTCCAACATCTTACTTCATATTACGTGCAGTCCATATCAAAAAAGTTCACGGGATGAATTATAACACCTCACATAAGACTGAATATAAGCAGACATGTTGAAGAAAAGAAAAATACATTAAAAATATCAATGAATACGAAAGAAATGAGTTTGGTAGTACCTTTGCCCTCTTTCTCTTAAATTGAACTTTATCCTTCACTCCCAATCCTTTCCTAGCGGTACCCCTTTTGCTACAACCTGCGCTTCCATGTTCTGATCTCCAAAACCATCTTCTTCACCAGAGGGATCGTCTTTTTCATGAGAATTCAGAATATTCTTTTTCTTCTTCAACATCTTGTATTCCAATTCAGTCATATGCAAGCGTTATTCTTCAGAAGATTTGACAAATTGGCGTTGGGCATCAGAAGGGGACTCCAGCAAAAGAGCAGTTCTCAGAGCGTATATAGCAGGGACACCTGGTATCTGCAAGTGAAAAGATGTACTTATGGCTAATGTAATGAGCATCAAACCAAACTGTACAGAGGATTCAAAAAGGCCACCAACCTTGAGAGACGAAGATCAACGTCCTGAGTAGCAACAAAGAAGTGCTCGGAATTACTTTGCCCAACAACATCCAAGATGCAATCCTCAGCACTCGCAGGACTCTAATGAACACACCTTGCAATAATAAGGATATTAGCAGCTTCAAGAGACTGTGAATAGGAAGGACCAAGCATTGGACCGTGTTGTTTCAACTCGGCGAGAGCGCATTTGGTGGTGAATAGCAGGACAAGGGCCCCGAGGACATTAGAGATGGCCTTGTCGACGGGGGTAATGCGATTGGTGACGAGGTGGTGCACGAAAGTGACATCGCAGAGCACCTTGTACGGCTGTCTGAATCCGTAGCATGCTGTGTAGAACCTCACACTCTTCCGGTGACGCTTCTGCCTTTTCACTCTCATAATTCTGTCCTAATAATATTGCCCAATAATCCTCTCAGTCTTAAAGCAAAAGACAATTATACTTCAAAATTAAAACTTTTTACAGTTTCACAAATCAATTTCATCAAACTGAGTTCAAGTACCCTTAAACCCTAAATATATATGCGTGTATATTTATCTAAAAGATGAAATTTTTATAGTTCCATAAATCAAACAGACACCTAGAATTCAGAGCTAATTCAAGCTTTGCCGCAAAATTGAAGAAGAAAAACGAAGAGCTGAAGAGATTAGAAAGAAGAGGAGAAAACCTGAAGCAAAACACCGGCTGGGGCAGAGGAAGTCTCTTCCGAAGTAGGCAGCTTCCGGCGAAATCTTGTCGAAAGTTAGTGCGTTGCCGCCGCAATGGTGATAGGAATCGTGTGCTCCGCTGAAATCAGAGCGCAGAGGAGATAAATTGGGCAAACAAACTAAGTGGGGTGTATTCAATTGGAATTTTAGGGTTTAGGGTTTAGGGTTTAGGGTTTAGGGTTTAGGGTTTAGGGTTTAGGGTTTAGGGTTTAGGGTTTAGGGTTTAGGGTTTAGGGTTTAGGGTTTAGGGTTTAGGGTTTAGGGTTTAGGGTTTAGGGTTTAGTATAATTATTGATATATATTGGTTAAGTAATGGTTTGTTTGCACTTAGTATTTTTTTGTCTCAGCGGATAAGGCGCTGGGGGTAAGACAGGGAAGACCCCGGGTTCGATTCCCAGCGGATTTTTCATGCTTTTTAAACTTTATCTTTTAATGAGCTTTTGTAATGGTCGCCTGGGGCGTTATGAGAAATTGTTTTTTGGCACACGCTCATTAGCGTGGGAAAGACTATTTTTACTTCAAGGCATGCTGTGCGGGGCTTGTAGAGTTATTATTATTTTTTTTTTTACATGGTTCGCGCATAAAGACATTCTTAAAATTACAATGTACTAATGCGACGTACAATGTTTAATTTTAATATTTGTACTTGTCAGGAGGCATTCTTTCATTTTAATTTGTTTTGGCTAAAAATTGGTATGAACTTTTGCACTGTTAGATTGAAATTAAGATACTTCAAGCCCTTCAACTTGAAAAGAGTCACATGGACAAAATAAAGCTAAACATGATGTTCATGGTCAATCTCCCATATCACAAATGCCACAAAAAAATGAAACTTTATGTCCAAATGATAGCAAAAGAAGTCACATAGTCAAATTGAGTAAATAAACAGCACAAAAAGAACCTCGATATACAAAGAGAAAACTAACCCTCTGTCTAAAAAAAAATCACAGTACATACAAACAAATCGAATAAGAAAATTAATAATATTTTAAAATTATTTCTTGCATTCCTCAAAACTAAAAAAAAAAAAATTATTAGCAGTAAATTAAAAATAACATAGTAAAAATGTTAGCTAAAAAAGAGAAACCAATATCCACATGCATGCAAACCAAGGCATGTTTCCCCTCGTCCTTAAGCTGCCTATGCAAAGTATTACTCCGTCATATATTTTCTTCCCTAAAGCCATCTCTATTCCAAGCATTAGTAAACCAAACTTGTGATAATTCCAATTTTTGAGTGGTAGCAATTTGAAACAAAGGGCAACCAAAGTATGCTATAGCAATGCGGATCACTACAGTTGAAGTAAGGTGGGACAAACCCATCATATTAATGAGTAAGTCCACCTTGCATTACATAAGTAATCAAGATAAATTGAAACCCATGATATTAAAATGGAGAGTGAAACTACCCCCCCCCCTCTTTTTCCCTTTTAAATTCTGCAAAAATGAGTAACCATTATTTAACTAATAAATTAGTATATAATTAAAAATTTAATAGAAAGGCAACCTGTTGTAAATACGAAGAGAATGACTGCACCAAAGCCTATTAAACCAAAAAGAAATGAGGAGAATGTGGAGGAAATTAATATGAGTAAATTGCAAAGAACTAAATGAAACGTATACCCACTACGTATTAATCGTTCAAATTTACAATCCCTATTTAAGATTGTTAAAATGAAACTCAAAATGAATGATGCTAAGTATACATGTATGCTATCTTCGCTTGCGAAACTCAAGTAGTTTGCAAAAGCTAAGAAACTGTATACTTAATAGGACTCTGTTTTGGGGACTCATGATCCTAGGGTTTCAAATATACTTCTTGCAGCGTACATCAAAGAAGACAAATGAAAGGGCTGAAACCTTTCATAGTCCGATGGTGCAAAATATACTTCTTCCGTATTTTTCCTGTGAAACTGACTTCAAAACTAATTATACAAATTAAAATTTTTCAAACATTCACTTACCCAAAACCCAAAAAAGAAAATTGTTAAGAGTTTTAATTAAGTTTAAATTCTGCTTTTTTAATTAAATGAAGCTGACTGGATATGTAGAAACCAAGTCAAGCTTGAGTCCTAGTTTTCAATTAAAATGAAAATATCAGGCCTTAAGCACTACCGCCCACAAGGAGTTTGGCTCCATTATCAACCTCCAACACTGTTTGGCCAGAAGAATGTCATTGAACGTCACAAAGCTCCTTAACCCAAGACCTCCCTCCTCTTTTCCCCGGATACCCAATGAATCCTATTTCACCCTGTTTTTCTCCCCACCAAAACTTCGAAATCATGGCATCCAGTTCGTTACAAAACAATATGGGAAACTTAAACAAATTCATTGGCTAAGCCGGGATTGCTTGTGAAAGAGTTGATTTCTTCCATCCTTGAAGCTTTTCCATATGCCTACCTTTAACATAGGCAAGACCAGATTTCTTAGATCATCCCCACATAGCAGGAACCCCAAGATATATCCCCAGGTCCCCGACCCTCTCCATACCGAGAATGGCCGCCAGATGTTAAGTGACTGTCTCAGGCACATTGGAACCGAAGCAAACACTAGATTTCAACTTGTTTACAAGTTGTCCCGAAGCCGCACAAAATTCATCAATCAACTGCATTAGGTGCCAGCAGTTCACTTCCTTCGCCTTGAGAAAGATAAGAGTATCATCTGCAAAGAGTATGTGGGAAATTGTCGAACCTGATAGGTTCATCTGCACACCCCTTATCCACTTCCTATCGCTTGCCTGTTGAATAAGAAGCGAAAGAACTTCACTCACCAGAAGAAAATGGTAAAGGGATAAAGGATCGCCTTGCCTAAGACCGCGAGATGGCGCAAACTTGGATCCAGGTTGTCCATTCAGCATGGTGGTGAAATTCATTGATGAAATACAACCCATAATCAAATTTCTCCATCTACCGTTGAATCCCATTTTCTCCATAACCGCCATTAAAAAATCCCACTCCACTCTATCATAGGTCTCATGCATATCCAACTTGATTCCCAAGTCAAATTTACATTTCGCTTTTCTCGTTTTTAGGAAATGAAAGAGCTCATGTGCAATGCCAATATTATCTTGAATTTGCCTTTCTACCACAAAAGCATTTTGTGTAGGAGAAATCAAAACTGGTAGAATCTGTTTGAGACGGTTGGCGAACACTTGATAGCACCTTATAGGAATAGTTGCATAAGCTAATGGGACGAAATTGAGCAACATAATCCGGTTTTTGAACCTTCGGAATCCAAATCCGAGAATTTTCGGAGTGTGATTTCAGATTTTAGATGAGCTCCATGTGTTTTTGATTCCCTAAAATTTTAGTAAACAACGGAATGACTTGGAAACAGTGCCATTCCTATTCCTTCATTTCAATTCCGCCATAAATGAAAATGATAATATTATGTTATAGAAACCCATCTTGCTACCTCGATCTCAAGAAAAATAACAATAAACAAATAAATAAAATAAAGTTTCCTGATTATGTTAACCAATGCCTCAGATCCAACCAAACCATCAGTTGTTTTTGATGAAATTTTCTCTCTACTTGTGGTTTTCCTGGTAACCAAACACTATTTTCTGACTCAGATTAATCTCCACCAAACTATGGCTCTTTTTGCAGCCATCCTCCGAAGCTACAGAAGTCCAGCACTTCTCAGAAACCCCATTGTTGGCATCATGAAGTTTCATTCAACCGTTACAGAACTTACCGGTCACTCTAGCGTGTTCGAATTTGACGAATACAAGGCGGCGAAGAGGAAGATGGTGGACGAAGCGTTGAATGCGGCGGTGCCGGTGCAACATCCCGACATAATCCATAAGGCAATGAGGTACTCGCTTTTGGGTGGCGGCAAGCGTGTACTCCCAGTTTTATGCATTGCTTCATGTGAACTGGTTGGAGGGGATGAGTCTCTTGCCCTTCCAACAGCTTGTGCTTTCGAAATGATTCACGCCTGCTCACTTATCCAGGATGATCTCCCCTGCATGGACAATGCCGATCTTCGACGCCGAAGACCCACGAACCACAAGGTTTTTGGTGAAGATGCTGCGGTTTTAGCCGGTGATGCGCTTCTAGCCCTTGCCTTTGAACACATTGCGGCTAAGACAACAAAAGCAGTCTCGCCGGAGCGTGTGGTTCGAGCCATTGCAGAGATTGGTTCGGCAGTTGGGTCATTAGGCCTCGTGGCGGGTCAAATGGTGGACATTCAAAGCGAGGGTAAAGAAGTGACGCTGCGAGAACTGGAGTACATTCATGCGCATAAAACCGCAAAGCTCTTTGAGGCTACGGCAGTGTGTGGAGCACTAATGGGAGGAGGGAACGACATTGAGGTAGAAGGGTTGAGGAAGTATGCTGGTTCCATCGGCCTGTTGTATCAAGTGGTGGATGACATTTTGGATGTCACGAAATCGTCGGAGGAATTGGGAAAGACGGCGGGGAAAGACTTGGCAAGCGATAAGGCAACATATCCCAAGCTGATGGGGATTGAAGGGGCAAAGGATTTTGCTGCCAAGTTGGAGACTCAGGCATTGGACGAGCTTGCTCATTTCGATGCTGCTAGGGCGGCTCCATTGTACTGTTTCACTAATTTCGTAGCCAAGAGACAGAGGTAGAGGAACAATATTGAACACTGTAATTCTGTTCGTTATTATTCGGGTGCACAAAAACCCAACCAAGCAGGGTTCATTTGCATGTTGCACAATTGACACGAAAAATATGCACGAAAAGTTCAATGTTAGCGTTTGATGCTTATCGTCTTGCGTTGAAAACTGTTGGAAACTGTTGCTTAGGCGAATTTATGTAACTATATTTTCACCTTCTGTACTCGAGCTATGCAAGATCACTCACGTTGCTTCAGCCTCAACGTACTATTATCTCGCTGAGCTTCGGTAGCAAATAGATAAAAAACACAAAAGGATGGCAAAAGTTGAGATATTCCAACATCTGCATTAACATTTGAATCCTTGGTAACTCAACACATATCCTTAACTGAGGAGTTTCTAATTCACAATACACACAAGACACTCCAAACTCTAAACCTGATCAACGTCCTTGTTTTTCCTTTTCCCGCCAGAGTCTATGAACTCGGTGTACTCTCTCATCTGACAATGTGACTTTCAATACACTAAGTCGATGATACAGAAATGATTGACTTGATTAAGGTACGGTACAGGTATATACCAAGAGAGAACAGCAGCAAGACATTTTAACCCAAGACTTTTGGACGCCAACCCGCAATGACATCTTCTTTCAGGGCACTAGTTTTAACGAATGAATCCAGTGAGAATATACTCTGCATGTCAGAAATTCAGCAGTGTTAGGAACATACATCACTATGCACAAAATGGGTTTTAGTCCTCCCACAGGCATGAGTAAAAAGTAAGAACTGCATTGGATAAACTCAAACGATCGCAAAATTTTTGACAATATGGTCACAGTACTTTCATTAACATGGGATAAGTTCATATCCTTGACATTCTTGCAAGTCCAATTTCAAAATTCCTGATGAGAGTCCAGGAAAAGTGCATCTGGACGTAATTAGTTAATTTCTTAGCAAAATTCCAGGAGTCGTGTTGTCAATTTCATAATTAAGATAAACCTCTTGTTCCTTAGCAGTGTAAACTTGTTAGTGACACACAAATGTCAATTCACATACCTTCATGTAAGATTTCACATATGGAAGGGAATCAGGAATTGACCAATCTTTGAAATGCTCCAGAGCAATCTCTAGATGATACAACTTGGGTCCAAGCGACAAATCAGCAGCAGAAACCTCTTTCCCATTGATAAAAGGACCCTTAAATAAATCGAAAGACAAATGTCAGAGATATAACCATTCAATTTGGTTTTTCTAAGCACGACTGTACAAGAAGATCTTAACTTCACAAAATGCACATACATCAAGGGCTACTACACCGAAACCACAACCCAAAATGCACATACATCAAGGGCTACTACATCAAGGGTTATCCTAGGAACATTAACCATCAGCCTCCAGAGTCCTTTTGCCTTTCCATGATCTACTCCGTTTCTTACGACTCCTCAAAGTAGCATCTCCATCCTTCCTTTCCTGCATGAAACAATTCAGAATCTCAAAAGATGCACAAAGCAAGAGAAAGAGCTCATGTCTTGTCTCTTCTCTGAATTGAAATTGAATTTCCAGGTGTTTCAACATTGGAGTTTAGAGCCTTGCTAACCAACGTGAGAGATCAATGAGTTTCATCACGGGCTGCATGTACCAATAATTAAAGGCATGCATTTGTTTCGTTAAAAATCCCTTTTTTATAGGATAGTGAGACATCGAATTATTGCTGTCGACTATTGTGACTAGTCAGTAGTACAGTGGAGCGAGAGTGGTATAAACAATCTTTGCAAGCTCACCTGTAGAGAATGACGATCAGTGTTTTTCATCTTTTTCTTCTTACACGAAAGGGGGTTTGGACCCTGCAAGGTGGAAGAAAATAAGTCAATACATAAACATTGAAACAGTCATATTAAGGGACTATTTCTAACCCTCTTAGCATGCCAACACAACATAAAAAGTTGTATTAGCAGAATCGATTTACATGTAATTTCACCCAAAACTTGAGAAAAGAACATGCGTCAAAACAGAACAATGAACATCATCTCAACAATACAATCTATACTCTCAGAAACATAAAGCTCAAACATGATTTTGATTTCAAGAATAGATTTGAATGCAGAACAAGATATGAATATAAACATGGAATAAGGGAACTACAGGATGTGCGATTAACCAGTTCCCCTTACTTTATCTTAGACTCTTAGAATTCACTCTAGTCTAGTCCTCCATCCTCCATGCATGGAAAATGAGGACGAGAAGTTGGTGAACCCCTTCCAAACTAATCAGCAATATATACATTGTTATCTTTGTTTAAGTATCCGGTGCACGAACAAAAATTTATTAAATTTCTATGATATTCAGGGAAGCATCTTCCTAGTGAAAACAACATCATCATGTGATAAAATACATATGTAATATGATATCTTGATATGAGTATCTTGGTTAAAAAAAAGTGGGGAATAAAGTTCGAAAAGATACCGTTACATAAAATACAGTGTAATTCTAGTAACTCATATTGATGTAAATCCACAATGCAGGATTGCAGCTATACTGAGGCCTATCCGTGTTTATAGTGTATACTATATATACTATAAACACAACAGGTGTCCTCCTTCCAACATCTTACTTCATATTACGTGCAGTCCATATCAAAAAAGTTCATGGGATGAATTATAACACCTCACATAAGACTGAATATAAGCAGACATGTTGAAGAAAAGAAAAATACATTTAAAATATCAATGAATACGAAAGAAATGAGTTTGGTAGTACCTTTGCCCTCTTTCTCTTAAATTGAACTTTATCCTTCACTCCCAATCCTTTCCTAGCGGTATCCCTTTTTGCTACAACCTGCGCTTCCATGTTCTGATCTCCAGAACCATCTTCTTCACCAGAGGGATCGTCTTTTTCATGAGAATTCAGAATATTCTTTTTCTTCTTCAACATCTTGTATTCCAATTCAGTCATATGCAAGCGTTATTCTTCAGAAGATTTGACAAATTGGCGTTGGGCATCAGAAGGGGACTCCAGCAAAAGAGCAGTTCTCAGAGCGTATATAGCAGGGACACGTGGTATCTGCAAGTGAAAAGATGTACTTACGGCTAATGTAATGAGCATCAAACCAAACTGTACAGAGGATTCAAAAAGGCCACCAACCTTGAGAAGTTTCTGACGAAGATCAACGTGCTGAGTAGCAACAAAGAAGTGCTCGGAATTACTTTGCCCAACAACATCCAAGATGCAATCCTCAGCACTTGCGGGACTCTCATGATCACACCTTGCAATAATAAGGCTATTAGCAGCTTCAAGAGACTGTGAATACGAAGGACCAATCATTGGAGATTAGAGATGGCCTTGTCGGCGGGGGTAAAGCGATTGGTGACGAGGTGGTGCACGAAAGTGACATCGCAGAGCACCTTGTACGGCTGTCTGAATCCGTAGCATGCTGTGTAGAACCTCACACTCTTCCGATGACGCTTCTGCCTTTTCACTCCCAATAATCCTCTCAATCTTAAAGCAAAAGACAATTATACTTCAAAATAAAAACTTTTTACAGTTTCATAAATCAATTTCATCAAACTGAGTTCAAGTACCCTTAAACCCTAAATATATATGCGTGTATATTTATCTAAAACATGAAATTTTTACAGTTCCATAAATCAAACAGACACCTAGAATTCAGAGCTAATTCAAGCTTTGCCGCAAAATTGAAGAAGAAAAACGAAGAGCTGAAGAGATTAGAAAGAAGAGGAGAAAACCTGAAGCAAAACACCGGCTGGGGCAGAGGAAGTCTCTTCCAAAGTGGGCAGCTTCCGGCGAAATCTTGTCGAAAGTTAGTGCGTTGCCGCCGCAATGGTGATAGGAATCTTGTGCTCCGCTGAAATAGGAGCGTAGAGGAGATAAATTGGGCAAACAAACTAAGTGGGGTGTATTCAATTGGGATTTTAGGGTTTAGTGGGGTGTATTTAGGAGATAAATTGGGCAAACAAACTAAGTGGGGTGTATTCAATTGGGATTTTAGGGTTTAGGGTTTAGGGTTTAGGGTTTAGGGTTTAGGGTTTAGGGTTTAGGGTTTAGGGTTTAGGGTTTAGGGTTTAGGGTTTAGGGTTTAGGGTTTAGGGTTTAGGGTTTAGGGTTTAGGGTTTAGTTTTTAGGGTTTAGTCTAATTATTGATATATATTGGTTAAGTAATGGTTTGTTTGCACCTAGTATGTTTTTGTCTCAGCGGATAAGGCGCTGGGGGTAAGACCGGGAAGACCCCGGGTTCGATTCCCAGCGGATTTTTCATGCTTTTTAAACTTTTTCTTTGTAATGGTCGCCTGGGGGGTTATGAGAAATTGTTTTTTGGCACACGCTCATGAGCGTGGGAAAGACTTTTTTTACTTCAAGGCATGCTGTGCGGGGCTTGTAGAGTTATTAATTTTTTTTTTTTTACATGGTTCGCACATAAAGACATTCTTAAAATTACAATGTGCTAATGCGACGTATAATGTTTAATTTTAATATTTGTACTTGTCAGGAGGCATTCTTTCATTTTAATTTGTTTTGGCTAAAAATTGGTATGAACTTTTGCACCGTTAGATTTAAATTAAGATACTTCAAGCCCTTCAACTTGAAAAGAGTCACATGGACAAAATAAAGCTAAACATGATGTTCGAATTACAAACTTGATATACAAAGAGCACAAAAAGAACCTCGATATACAAAGAGAAAACTAACCCTCTGTCCAAAAAATAATCACAATAAAATTACAAACTTGATGTCCAAATTAGTCACCCAATACATACAAACAAATCGAATAAGAAAATTAATAATATTTTAAAATTATTTCTTGCATTCCTCAAAACTAAAAAAATAATAATAATTTATCAGCAGTAAATTAAAAATAACATAGTAAAAATGTTAGCTAAAAAAGAGAAACCAATATCCACATGCATGCAAACCAAGGCATGTTTCTCCTCTCCCTTAAGCTGCCTATGCAAAGTATTACTCCGTCATATCTTTTCTTCCCTAAAGCCATCTCTATTCCAAGCATTAGTAAACCAAACTTGTGATAATTCCAATTTTTGGGTGGTAGCAATTTGAAACAAAGGGCAACCAAAAGTATGTTATAGCAATGCGGATCACTACAGTTGAAGTAAGGTGGGACAAAGACTATTAATCCCTGCAAGCATCAGTTACATTCAAAATAAAGTTACGACTTTTTAACTAATATATATACATGGATGGAATTACTGTCATTTTGTATCACATACACAATCCCTTAACAAAATTAAACCATAAATTGTTAACATAATAGTGCAACACAATTAGGGGTTTGTGAAATCATGAAAAAATAAGATAAAAATACATATTAGTGTACCTTAAAATTTTGATAGCCATATCTTCGTCACTCAAGATTAATGAGTAAGTCCACCTAGCATTATATAAGTAATCAATATAAATTGAAAACCATCATATTAAAATGGAGAGTGAAACTAACCCCACCCCCGCGCCCCCCCCCCTTTCCCCCCCCCTTTTTTTTTTTTAAATTCTGCAAAAATGAGTAACCATTATTTAACAAATAAATTAGTATATAATAAAAAATTTAATAGAAAGGCAACCTGTTGTAAATACAAACAGAATGCTGCACCAAAGCCTATTAAACCAAAAGAAATGAGGAGAATGTGGAGGAAATTAATATTAGTAAATGCAAAGAGCTAAATGAAACGTATACCCACTACGTATTAATGGTCCAAATTTACAATCCCTATTTAAGGTTGTTAAAATGAAACTCAAAATGAATGATGCTAAGCATACATGTATGCTATCTTCACTTGCGAAACTCAAGCAGTTTGCAAAAGCTAAGAAACTGTATACTTAATAGGACTTTGTTTTGTGGACTCATGATCCTAGGGTTTCCAATATACATCTTGCAGCGTACATCAAAGAAGACAAATGAAAGGGCTGAAACCTTTCATAGTTGGATGGTGCAAAATATACTTCTTCCATATTTTTCCTGTGAAACCAACTTCAAAACTAATTATACAAATTAAAATTTTCAAACATTCACTTACCCAGAAACCAAAAAAGAAAATTGTTAAGAGTTTTAATTAAGTTTAAATTCTTCTTTTTTTTAATTAAATGAAGCTGACTGGATATGTAGAAACCAAGTCAAGCTTGAGTCCTAGTTTTTAATTAAAATGAAAATATCGGGCCTTAAGCACTACCGCCCACAAGGAGTGTGGCTCCATTATCAACCTCCAACACTGTTTGGCCTAAAGAACGTCATTGAACATCACAAAGCTCCTTAACCCAAGACCTCCCTCCTCTTTTGACCGACCCATCTTTTCCCTGGATACCCAATGAATCCTATTTTCACCCTGTTTTTGTCCCCACCAAAACTTCGAAATCATGGCATCCAGTTCGTTACAAAACAATATGGGAAACTTAAACAAATTCATTGGCTAAGTCGGGATTGCTTGTGAAAGAGTTGATTTCTTCCATCCTTGAAGCTTTTCCATATGCCTACCTTTAACATAGGCAAGACCAGATTTGTTAGATCGTCCCCACATAGTAGGATCCCCATGTCCCCGACCCTCTCCATACCGAGAATGGCCGCCAGATGTTAAGTGACTGTCTCAGGCACATTGGAACCGAAGCAAACACTAGATTTCAACTTGTTTACAAGTTGTCCCGAAGCCGCACAAAATTCATCAATCAACTGTATTAGGTGCCAGCAATTCACTTCCTTCGCCTTGAGAAAGATAAGAGTATCATCTGCAAAGAGTATGTGGGAAATTGTCGAACCTGATAGGTTCATCTGCACACCCCTTATCCACTTCCTATCGCTTGCCTGTTGAATAAGAAGCGAAAGAACTTCACTCACCAGAAGAAAATGGTAAAGGGATAAAGGATCGCCTTGCCTAAGACCGCGAGATGGCGCAAACTTGGATCCAGGTTGTCCATTCAGCATGGTGGTGAAATTCACTGATGAAATACAACCCATAATCAAATTTCTCCATCTACCGTTGAATCCCATTTTCTCCATAACCGCCATTAAAAAATCCCACTCCACTCTATCATAGGTGTTATGCATATCCAACTTGATTCCCAAGTCAAATTTACATTTCGCTTTTCTCGTTTTTAGGAAATGAAAGAGCTCATGTGCAATGCCAATATTATCTTGAATTTGCCTTTCTACCACAAAAGCATTTTGTGTAGGAGAAATCAAAACTGGTAGAATCTGTTTGAGACGGTTGGCGAACACTTGGATAGCACCTTATAAGAATAGTTGCATAAGCTAATGGGACGAAATTGAGCAACATAATCCGGTTTTTGAACATTTGGAATCCAAATTCGAGAATTTTCGGAGTGTGATTCCAGATTTTAGATGAGCTCCATGTGTTTTTGATTCCCTAAAATTTTAGTAAACAACGGAATGACTTGGAAATAGTGCAATTCCTATTCCTTCATTTCAATTCCGGTTTGGTAAACACGCCATAAATGAAAATGATAATATTATGTTATAGAATTGCTACCTCGATCTCAAGAAAAATAACAATAAACAAATAAATAAAATAAAGTTTCCTGATTATGTTAACCAATGCCTCAGATCCAAGCAAACCATCAGTTGTTTTTGATGAAATTTTCTCTCTACTTGTGGTTTTCCTGGTAACCAAACACTATTTTCTGACTCAGATTAATCTCCACCAAACTATGGCTCTTTTTGCAGCCATCCTCCGAAGCTACAGAAGTCCAGCACTTCTCAGAAACCCCATCGTTGGCATCATGAAATTTCATTCAACCGTTACAAAACTTACCGGTCACTCTAGCGTGTTCGAATTTGACGAATACAAGGCGGCGAAGAGGAAGATGGTGGACGAAGCGTTGAATGCGGCGGTGCCGGTGCAACATCCCGACATAATCCATAAGGCAATGAGGTACTCGCTTTTGGGTGGCGGCAAGCGTGTACTCCCGGTTTTATGCATTGCTTCATGTGAACTGGTTGGAGGGGATGAGTCTCTTGCCCTTCCAACAGCTTGTGCTTTCGAAATGATTCACGCCTGCTCACTTATCCAGGATGATCTCCCCTGCATGGACAATGCCGATCTTCGACGCGGAAGACCCACGAACCACAAGGTTTTTGGTGAAGATGCTGCGGTTTTAGCCGGTGATGCGCTTCTAGCCCTTGCCTTTGAACACATTGCGGCTAAGACAACAAAAGCAGTCTCGCCGGAGCGTGTGGTTCGAGCCATTGCAGAGATTGGTTCGGCAGTTGGGTCATTAGGCGTCGTGGCGGGTCAAATGGTGGACATTCAAAGCGAAGGTAAAGAAGTGACGCTACGAGAACTGGAGTACATTCATGCGCATAAAACCGCAAAGCTCTTTGAGGCTACGGCAGTTTGTGGAGCACTAATGGGAGGAGGGAACGACATTGAGGTAGAAGGGTTGAGGAAGTATGCTGGTTCCATAGGCCTGTTGTATCAAGTGGTGGATGACATTTTGGATGTCACGAAATCGTCGGAGGAATTGGGAAAGACGGCGGGGAAAGACTTGGCAAGCGATAAGGCAACATATCCCAAGCTGATGGGGATTGAAGGGGCAAAGGATTTTGCTGCCAAGTTGGAGACTCAAGCATTGGAAGAGCTTGCTCATTTCGATGCTGCTAGGGCGGCTCCATTGTACTGTTTCGCTAATTTCGTAGCCAAGAGACAGAGGTAGAGGAACAATATTGAACACTGTAATTCTGTTCGTTATTATTCGGGTGCACAAAAACCCAACCAAGCAGGGTTCATTTGCATGTTGCACAATTGACACGAAAAATATGTACGAAAAGTTCAATGTTAGCGTTTGATGCTTATCGTCTTGTGTTGAAAACTGTTGCTTAGGCGATTTTATGTAACTATATTTTCACCTTCTGTACTCGAGCTATGCAAGATCACTCACTTTGCTTCAGCCTCAACGTACTATTATCTCGCTGAGCTTCGGTGGCAAGTAGATAAAAACACAGAAGGATGGCAAAACTTGAGATATTCCAACATCTGCATTAACATTTGAATCCACTTAAGTAACTCAACACATATACTTAACTGAGGAGTTTCTAATTTACAATACACACAAGACACTCCAAACTCTAAACCTGATCAACGTCCTTCTTGATTTTCTTTTTTCCCGCCAGAGTCTATGAACTCGGCGTACTCTCTCATCTGACAATGTGACTTCCAATACACTAAGTCGATGATAGAGAAATGATTGACTTGATTAAGGTACAGTACAGGTAAAGTTAAAGTATATACCTAGAGAGAACAGCAGCAAGACATTTTAACCCAAGACTTTCGGACGCCAACCCGCAATGACATCTTCTTTCAGGGCACTAGTTTTAACGAATGAATCCAGTGAGAATATACTCTGCATGTCAGAAATTCAGCAGTGTTAGGAACATACATCACTATGTACAAAATGGGTTCTAGTCCTCCCACAGGCATGAGTAAAAAGCAAGAACTACATGGGATAAACTCAAACGATTGCAAAATTTTTGACAATATGGTCACAGTACTTTCATTAACATGGGATAAGTTCATATCCTTGACATTCTTGCAAGTCCAATTTCAAAATTCCTGATGAGAGTCCAGGAAAAGCGCATCTGGATGTAATTAGTTAATTTCTTAGCAAAATTCCAGGAGTCGTGTTGTCAATTTCATAATTAAGATAAACCTCTTGTTCCTTAGCAGTGTAAACTTGTTAGTGACACACAAATGTCAATTCACATACCTTCATGTAAGATTTCACATATGGAAGGGAATCAGGAATTGACCAATCTTTGAAATACCCCAGAGCAATCTCTAGATGATACAACTTGGGTCCAAGCGACAAATCAGCAGCAGAAACCTCTTTCCCATTGATAAAAGGACCCTTAAATAAATCGAAAGACAAATGTCAGAGATATAACCATTCAATTTGGTTTTTCTAAGCACGACTGTACAAGAAGATCTTAACTTCACAAAATGCACATACATCAAGGGCTACTACACCGAAACCACAACCCAAAGCTGCTTTTTTTTTAGGTAAATAAGAAATTGTTACAACATGATTCCCTGTTTTTAATCTTGTGTTATAAACTTATAACCATTGATGGTTTAATCCCACATGGATTTAGTAGGATAAGAATGCTAAGATACCATTGTTGTGAATCACTTGTCTTAGAGGAATTACGTAGTTTGACATTCTAAACGAAAGACTACATTGCCTTGGCTCCAAAACGTGTCAATAAATATCTCCCATGCAATCAATGTTGTGAATCAATTGACCACTGCACGACTTCCTCACAGGTCACATGAATGTATTCATGCATTTTGAAGTAACTCAAAGGTTCTTTAGGTTGTGGTATTTTCTATTAATCTACAGGGCATCTCCGTATCGAGGCACATACTGACGCCTCTCTAAAGTTTCCTATCAAACAGAAGATCAATGACTGACCATCGTACCTGCATACACAGTAATCTTGTGACTCGGGAGGAGGAAGAAGCAATCATTTGTCGCTCGGTTTTTTATAAGAAACAAAATTTTATTCAAGGAAAGTGAGAAAGTAGAAAACAGAGTACAAGGTGTTCTTTGGACTAGACATTTCAAACAGTCTCTAAGAAACAGAAAACAGCCACCAAATGATGAGGGTAAGTGTGTTATAGATAGGAAATTTACAGACCATTTGCCAATTTTTGGACTGATAGTATTTTGTTGGGTGCAGACTTTTATTCAGTTGCATAAAAAAACCCATTCTCGCTATTCATTTGATTATTCATATGCAAACAAATCATCTTTCAAGAACAAGCAAAACAAAATTAGCAAGTTGATACAAACTCAAGGCAAAAGTTATTCAAAAATGTGATGAAATCTTCCTTAATATGAACTGGAAAGAATGTAGAACGGCTCACATTTTCTTTGAGATAATCGTTGAAAGAGCTAAGTTCATTTAGCAATGCTTGTTCAGTTCCATCCTTGGGGTCTTTGCTCTTTAGGAAACCGATAAATGTAGAGAAGATCTTTGATCCACTGCAAAGATGAATCAGAATTTCTTATTATAGTGCTTCAAATATGATTCTAAAAAACTTAAATATTATGACAAGACAGCAAAGTCAAAACTAGAATTCTAAATAAATAAGTAAAGCTTTTGACTAATGAACAAATTGAAGGTGAACTTAACATAAGATATTTCTCAAAACAGCCCCATGATATCAGGAAAATAAATTTGGTCTATAATCATGATGGAAGCACTACTCAGAATAAGTAAAATGAAAATCTAGACAAGACTACCATTGGCGCTCCAGTATTTCGCCATTCATCAAGCCCTAAACATATGTGATATGTCCAAGTGAAAAGTAAAAGAAACAGTAATGCACACTAAGGGACATATAACATACACTGAAGCCTTCTCAGGGGGCGTTGCCAAAGGTGGTTCTGGGTACTTTTCTTCCAGTGCTTGTGTAATAATATCTGAATCCGCAACCCACTTCTCATCAAGTTTGACCACAGGAACTTTACCTTCCGAGTTAATTTTTAAGAACCTAAAGCAGAAACAAATTGATAAAACGCAATCATTGAACTAAAAAGATAAAACGACATAGCAGCAGCTACTTTCAATTTACGTTTATGCGCTGCAGCATATACAAGTAACTATTTTTCAACCACAGAGAAAGAAACAACACGAAAGAAATCAAATTTAGTCCAAGATAAATTCAGACAATCACCATTCTGGCTTGTTGCCCAAGTCTACCAACTTCAGGTCATAAGGGAGATGCTTTTCCTCTAGAGTCAGCAACACCCTTTGACAAAACGGACCTAGGAAAGACAAGTTATCAAACAAATAGTTAAACATGCGTTCCCCCCGATTCAAATGCTACTGCTACGTACAATAACACATTAAACGATTTCCCACTCAATAATCATAAACCATTACATAACAATAAAATTGTACAAGAGTTTAAATCGACATACATATCGGACATTTCCAACAATGCCTGTCAAAAGTTTAGTTTCTTCTTTTGGTAAATTTCGGTTCCAGAATCTGCACTAACAATGAGAGCTCATTGCATCGTTCAGTCTATGTATGTAACAATGTAAAGCTCCAATGTAAAGACATCATCTTTTCACACTAAGTCCAATAATTTCGATAACTATTGGAATTTCCAAACCTTTCCACTCATTTTTACCTCCTCCAAAACACAGATAAGAACAGCTAAATTATCAATTTCTTGCAAAACGTTCACAAAAATATCAATTTCTACGTATTTGGCGCACTGGAAGCGCGAACATGGCAATGCTACAAATCTGCTACATGGATACACAAAGAAATGCTAAACTAAGAATGACCCAATTGATATTTGCGAATTTTCCCGCAGTTTCTGGGACACCAAACAGACTTACAGTCGCCGAGCTTGTTGGGAACAGTGGTGGAGGCCTTGGCGCAAACGTCGAGAGGGGCGACCATTGCCACCGTGAGGGTTCTTGTGGTTCCGCGGCGTCGCAGGGAGTTGGGGTTGGTTCTGAATACGACGGCGTTGGGAGGCGGCCGGAGGTGGTGTTTGATGGTGGAGGAGAGTACAGCGGAGGCTGCCGGATGGATTTTGGCGGTGGTCAACATTGCAATATCTAAAGCTAGCTTATCGTGGAGATTAGCCTGATTACGAGTGTCGAAGAGTGATACTGGAGCTAGCTATATTCCGTACAGCTGATTTTGTGTACCAGGAAGTTCCAGATTGTAACTTTACGCGTGGCAATCACGTCTCAAATTTATTTATTTAAATTTTGGGAATTGTTATTGGTATTCAAAAATTTCATTCTGCACTTCCAAACTTTCTATATTATGAAAGAAAAATACACTTATGAGAGTGTAAAATGAGATTTTTGGAATGCCAATAACACTTCCCTAATTTTTTTTCCCAAAATGTAACTGGGTTTTTCTAACCTAAGAAGGTTCTAGTGAGATGCTTATACTCGGTTGGTCATACTTGATATGAACTTTAATCACCGCTTGTTTTCTTCAAGTTTTGACTTTGCATTTCTCACCTTTTTATTGGAATCTTTAGGTTTTGTTCCACTTTAGATTTTACCATTTTCAAGTTTTTATGAGTTCATATTTCCATAATGGAACTTTAATTTAGATTTGTGTGTGTAACGTCCTATGTTGTTTGAAGATCTCAACAACAGGATTTAGGAATCAAAACCAATTATGACTTGTATTGCTTTGTAGGGCAGGTGAAGCATCATGTGATTCGGATACATAAAGATATAAGGTCACAAGAGAAAAGCAAGCAATTACAAACCAGCTGAGCTCCTTTTCTTTCTCTCTTGTTGTCTTTCTTCTACCCTCACTCTCTAAAGTTTCCTTCAACAAAAGCAACATTATCATTCATTGTTCAAATAAAAATCAATAAAAACTTCAATTAGAGTCATTCAATTTTGTCTCTGGCTTATAAAATATGAAGCGGGATTAGTAACATGCACATGAGAGAATTCAAACTAAAAATTGGGTTGGGTTTGAGTTGACATGGTAAATAAAGCATCAACCTACCCAATAAATGATCAAGTTGACGTCAAATTTGATTTGAGCGGATGCTTACTTCATTCTAATCAGTCTAATCAGGTTTAAAATTGAGCTGAGTTTGGACGGATTCGAATTAAACTAATGTAAGTTACACGCCAGTTAGCAAGAGAAAGAGTGGCCTCTCATGTGATGGGCTTGAAGGAAGGTCCATTCAAATACAATGCTATCCGCTAGCCGTTTTGAAGTACTACTCTATGGCCCATAGACACATAAACTGAAGCTTTGTTCCCTTCCAACCAAATTTTCAATCAAAATTTACTTTTGGATAATTATCACTTGATTACCATTAAATATCTTCAAATTTGTGTTTTGCTACACCCTTTTTTTTTTTTATTCCAATTACATACCTGAATTTTTATTTTTTTATTTTAATATTTCCGTTAGATTTTCTGTCAAACTCTCCATTAAGTGATGATATTACATAATTTTGACCCATCATAACTAAGAGTAACAAAGTGCAAATTTCACAATACTGGCCTTCATCCTTAGTTTATTAAGATTTGCAAATGTTTTTTTAATTATTATTTTTATTTACAAATATTATTTTTGAAGTTCACACATTTAACAAAATAATTAAAAAAAAAAAAGAAAAAGGATAGGGCTGTTCGCTTACTCATTTTTACCTCTCACACACCCTTGTTGATTTTTGTCCATTGATCTTCTTCAATTTATTCGATTCCACAATTGATACTCAAGAGGAGTGAGTGACAGGTAAAAATGTGTGTGGATAGGAGTAGGAGACTCTCCCCACTTTTTTTCCCTCCCATTCCCTCCCCTCCTATTTGAATGGTCACGGTTAAGCTACATCAACATCTTATATTAATTTTTTATAGAAAAAGAAAGACAAATTAGAGAATGTGAGATGAGGGAATGGAAGGAGATGGCAAAAAAATGAGAGAGAATCCTAGTCAGTACGGATAACACTACCTAAAAAAAAGTAGCTCAAGTGATTAATAACATGTATAAACTTAAAAAGAATAAAAGATCATGTTCGAACACTTGAGCTATTAAGTCTTAATAGCTTATGTTCAAACACGACCCAATTGCCACCTCTTGGAACCTTCCTTTGTGCCGAGCTTTTATTTACATTGGTTACATACAAAAATTAACTTTTTTTTTTTTTTAACAAACAATATTATCTACACTAAATAAAAAATGATGAACTTAGCCATATAATGGGCTAACAATAATGTGGTTCAAATTTGTTTTTAGTGGGAATCGAAACTAAGACTTCTTACTTACAAATAAAGAAAAATACCACTAAATCGTAGTATGAAGTAGCGAATTAATTGACTCAGCAAGTAGGAGACCATGTGGAATGTGACTCGACCCTATTTCAATCTCATGTATAATTTCAGTTAATTATACTCTAAACACGGTCACCCGTTGTTTTATAATATGGTTTTAATGGGTCAGTTGTTCCATTACTTTCATGATCTCATCGACGATGACAATATCTACATAATTGATGGGTATTTTATTGTTAAATTTCAAACTTCTAGGAATAAGTTGTTGTAATCAACAGGAGCTCAGATTAGGATGTGTGATTAATTAATTAAATCTCAATCGATTTGTTTATTGTACTTGTTTCTGATCGTTAATTGCCGGCGCGAATATTTAAAGAAACACTAATCTAAGCATCTAGTGATAAGTAATATGATTAACAAAAAGCCTTAACATCTACACACACCATTTTTTCTGTTAATCTATACAACATTATATAATTAACAAATGACAAATACGCACATCAAGATTAGCGATTTAATACGTTTGATTTGGAAATAATTGTGGGATTACGTACGTACGTAATGCGACAAGATAGTAGCCTTCCGATGGGATTGTAATTTGCGATGGAGGAATCTTATTGCCTTTTGTATTTGGAAGAAGAATTAATTTTGTGTGTTCAAGGAATAAACAAGGTCAAATTCCGGAGGAATAGTACTTGTATTAGGCCAATAACAAAATTACAAACATGATTTAATTTGAAAGTACTTAAAAACAAACGAGAAGAAAATAAATAAGCGTCCGTTTCAAAACGAAACTTTTAAGAAGAATACAAGCGCTTCTTATAAAAACTTTTGAAGTGTTTATTTTTTTAACTTTAAACCGCTTTTAATTTTGTTGGTCAAATATTATCTGAAGTGTTTTTTATGATCTAAAAACATTTTCAATTGTTTTAGAAGTGCTTCCAAACAATTTTCAATAGGAACTCTCTCTGTGCAAATAAAAAGTTTGATTGCTTCCCAATAGTTGGTAGATTTTGTGAGCTGAATGAGATTAAACCTAGTGGTAATTCGTTACCACATTTGTTAGTTTATATCAATGAATATTGGTATGATTAACAACCATGCTTAATGCAAATATTTTTACCGTGAGAAAGTAAAAAGTAAAAATTAAAACGTAAAGTGTATTTTGAACTACGGAACAGAAAATATAGATATTAACGCAAAGTAAAAGATAAGAATTGCATGGCAAGGGATACATGGAGCTGTAAAGGTGGTGGATTATGTGTTTGGAGTATGCAGCTCGAAAGATTGCACCATTCAATTTTAATTTTACGATACTTATTAATTTATTTCACTAATCAACTTCACAAAAACTTAAAAATTTAAACAGTATTAATCTTTTTTTTTTTTTGGTAAATGGTTCGAATCTCTCAAACCACATGCTTGAGAGACAAAACCCCGGAGCGGATCTCATATTGTCTGGGACAACCACGATTGTGAGAATCTTGAACGCTAGCACGACGACCAAAAAGACACGTGGCAGAATAATATGGTGATGTATCAATTTCAGTGACACGTGTCAGCCCTATTCGACAGGTGTCAGGTTCAGATAGCGGCCCCCCCCCCCTTCACACAAAAAAACATTTTCGTTCTCAAAAAAGGCCGTTACGCAAAACGCCGTTTAGTCTTGACGTGATGTATTACCCATTTCCGTGTATAAAAATTGGGTTAGACGGTCCCACAAAGATGAGAAGAAGTATACTTATTTTTCGGCGGGTCCCACTGGGTGCACAAACGATGTCGACATTTGAAGCCTCCGGCACTCCCACCTCATCGTGGGCCCCACTTGAATACATAGGCTGGGTGGTATACTCGAGATGGTATTTACAATATGGAGGGGAGCGTGTATAGCACTTGCACTGAAGGTTCTCCACGTGGCAACATGTTGACACTAAGCTCGATCTGATTGGTTAGGTGTTAGTCCAGATGTCAAAGTTGGGAATTGATGCTCTTCGGATCCTTTTCATCAAATCCATCAAGACACATAATTCGGATTTTTGAAATTTGATCCAACCATTAAACTTATTATAACTTTTAAAGTAAATTTATGTTTGTAACTGTTAAATCAAATTTCAAAAATCCAAATCATATACCTTAGTGAATTTGGTGAAAATGATTCGTAAAAGTTGTTCCTCAGACCCCTCCTCAGGTGGGTTTTGTATGCGGAAACTATTTATTCCGACTCGACCTAGAGCAGGTGTTGACACTCGCTTGACATCTCAGTCATATTGATCACTGGTTGGGGGGAGCAAATTATATTAAGGTATTCACTGATCCTTAGTATTGCACACGAAAATATACTCAATACTTGCTAATATCGAGATTTGAATAAGTCATGTACGTTGTATATGACTTTTGTTTGAGTTATTTTGGATTTTTAACTTTATTTTGTAAGTTTTTGATAGAAAGATATATGTACGTCAGGAGATGGATGAATAAATTTGATTCAGACATATGACCTCCTTTTCACGGGTTAATTCTCTTTGGTACGGACCAAAAATTTTGACTAGTAAAAAAACATGTCATGTTCATTTCAAAAACTTATCGTGAAATACTAAAAAAATATACTAGGCACATTAATATGGAGTTTAACTAATTACAAACTTTAAGAATTCAACGCGGTCCACTTGTTCAAAAAAAAAATTGTAGCAAGGGTCCCTTAACTTTAACCTAATTAGAGAAATGGTCCATCAACTAAAAATTCATGACCACTGATCCCTTAACTCATCAAAACATGAAGCTATGGTCATTAACTCCACCATAATTTCATCAAAATGACTCATGTTGGAATGACCATTGCTACAATTGAGTTAACGTTGAGGGACCATTGCTCCAATTGGTTTAACGTTAAGGGATCATTTCTCTAATTGAGTTAATGTTGAGGGACCATTGTGACAATTTTTTTAATTTCGTTTTCTATATTTGCCCCTTGATCATGACCCATTTTGACAAAAAATTGAACAAAGTTAACAAAAATGACTATAGTTACACATTTTAATGAGTTAAGGAACCAATGGTCATTGATTTTTAGTTGAGGGACCATTGCTACAATTTCCTTTTAAAAAATGTTGAAATGTTCGAAATAATCTTGAAAGGTTATGGGGAGTTAAAAGTACGGAATAACCTTGAAACCAAGTCATGTTCAAGGCACATGACTTATTTTGAGAAAAACTTAACAGAGTTAAGTTGAGATAACAAATTAATAATTTTTTTAAGTTAATATGGCAAATAACTCAAAGTTTTAGTTTATATAACAAACTAAAAAAGATGTATAAGTTCATATGACATTTCCAATATTTTTTTCTAATGTAAAAATCAAAACTCTGATTCAACTAAAATTCAGGAAAACATGCTCAAATTTTCTTGTTATTCTACTGGATACAACAATTAACATACAAAAATGCTACTTTTACTGCATATTTGTTCTATAATTTGTATCATATCTCTAATAGAAATAAGATTCATATGTGTTGGTGAGTCGAGATAAGACTCACATATATTAACAAGCTCAACCTCTATTAAGAATGTGGTACAAATAATTGTACAAGTATATAATAAATGTAGCATTACTTGTTAGCATATAGAGACGCGCTGATGAAGGGCAGTGGGGGTTTGAAAATGAGATTGGGTACACAACGCAGCTGGACCTTGCATTTCATTCAGAATGGGAATGGCTCTCAATTGATGGAAGCGTACGGCCAACAGATTTGTTTGCCGTATGCCCTCCTCCTACTCCTCTCTCTTTCTCTCTTTTTCTCTCCCATCACTCACAAATTCGCAATCAGCATCTTTTTTTGTAACATGGCGGTGCTGCCACGGAAACGGATCTTCTCCTATCTCTTCCACCAATTTCATTCATTAATCGGATTCTTGAAATTTGACACAACAATTAAAAACAGATGCTCATTTAAAAGTTTGATCAAATTCTAAGAATTCGAATTAATAAATTTGATGAATTTAGTGGAAAGAATCCGAACAAGTTCCCTTTCCGTGCTGCCACGGCTCTTATCCATTTTTACGCTTGTTTACTTACCTGCCGGACCGAATTTTTACACTAACCGCACCAACTCCCCAATCAGCCCTCACCATTTAATAAATAAATAATCACAATCCCAAAAGCGCACAAATTAAATAAAAAATATCCCCATTGTTATGGCCTCCAATGTTTCCTTATCTCTTCTACTCTTCCGATAGATTTTTTAGGTGGTTGGACACAAAATAGTACATCACATGTCATTATACAAATAGTAAAATATGTGTGTTGAAAAATTACTAAAAAAAATTTCACCATTTATATAAAAACATGTGATGTACGAGAAATTTTTCATTGTGACAGGAACATGAGTGATACAACACATGTTTTTATATAAGTGGTGGGATATTGTATTTTTTAAGATATTAACTTTTTACCACACTATTTGTATAATGACAAGTGATGTATCATCTCGTGTTTCAATCACACTAAAAAATCTCTTGAGATGTACCACACCGGTCTCAATGAAAAATTTCTCCAACTCTCCCCTCCTATTCCTCCCTTGGACCTCCCCTTGTCCCCCTCTCTCTCCTTAGAGATTTTTCAGTATGACTGTCATACGAGATGATATACCACGTATCGCTATATAAATAGTGAGATATATGTATTAAAAAGTTAATAACTTAAAAAATAAAATTTCTTATCGCTTACGTAAAAATACATGATATACCACACTCGTGTCCATCACAACTAAAAGTTTCTCCTCTCTCCTCTCTCTCACTCTTTCTCATAAAAAAGTAAAACCTGCAACAATTATAAGCCCAAAATCCCATTTGACCAACATGGACAAAGCCTAGTGGGTTTTTCTATATCTTTCAGTGCCTTCTTCCTCCTCTGTTTCTCACAAACCCAAAAGATGAAGAGAGATCACCGCGAAAGCTGTGCAACTGTAACTGCACGTCAAAACAATTCCAAACCGGAATACTCATCACCCCCGTCTTCCGCCCTGAACGGCAAGGCCAAGATTTGGGAAGATGACCAAGATGGGTACAGCGCAGGCGGCGACATGGATGAGCTGCTTGCCGTTTTGGGGTACAAGGTTCGGTCCGACGACATGGCCGACGTGGCGGAGAAGCTCGAGCAGCTCGAAATGGTCATGGGGTCGGCTCAGGAAGATGGGATTTCTCAGCTCTCTGACACCGTCCACTACAACCCGTCGGATCTCTCCGGGTGGGTCCAGAGCATGCTCTCTGAGCTCAACACAGGCGACGATATGCCCTCAATCGACGACCCTCTTCTCGTTCCGGCTCAGTCCTCGTCGATAACCTCGATGAGCTTCTCCAATTCCCAGCGGAGTCGAGTTTTCAGCGACGATTCTGAATACGATCTCAGGGCTATTCCGGGCGTGGCGGCGTACCCGCCAGCTTATTCGCCGTCGGATACCGAGAGTACGAGAAAGCGATTGAAGGCCTCAATTGGGTCCGATTCTAATGGGTCTAGTTCCGGCGCTGTATCCGATCCGACTCGGCCTCGAGTCCTGGTTGACTCGCAAGAAACGGGCGTGCGGCTCGTCCACACACTCATGGCCTGTGCAGAGGCTGTCCAGCAGGAAAATTTGAAGCTTGCAGACGCGCTTGTGAAGCACGTGGGCCTACTCGCGGCTTCCCAAACCGGCGCTATGAGAAAAGTCGCCACGTACTTCGCTGAAGCTCTGGCTCGTCGGATTTACCGAATTTACCCTCAGGATTGCCTCGATTCTTCGTACTCGGACATCCTCGAGATGCACTTTTACGAGACCTGCCCTTATCTGAAATTTGCTCACTTCACTGCCAACCAGGCAATACTCGAGGCTTTTGCCACCGCGAGAAGAGTACACGTCATCGATTTCGGGCTTAAACAGGGGATGCAGTGGCCAGCGCTCATGCAGGCGCTGGCACTCAGGCCTGGTGGGCCACCTGCGTTTCGCCTGACGGGAATTGGCCCGCCGCAGCCCGACAACACTGACGCCTTGCAGCAGGTAGGATGGAAGTTGGCCCAACTGGCCGAAACTATCGGGGTTGAGTTTGAATTCCGAGGCTTCGTCGCCAATAGCCTGGCGGACCTCACGCCGTCCATGCTCGACATCCGCCCGTCAGACGTCGAGGTTGTGGCGGTGAATTCGGTTTTCGAGCTTCACCGCCTCTTGGCTCGACCCGGGGCGGTAGATAAGGTGTTGTCATCAATCAAGGCCATGAAGCCTAAGATTGTGACAATTGTGGAGCAGGAGGCGAACCATAACGGGCCGGTTTTCCTGGACCGGTTCACGGAGGCATTGCATTATTATTCAAACTTGTTTGACTCGCTGGAGGGATCATCGGGGCCGAGTCAAGATTTGGTCATGTCCGAGGTGTATTTGGGCAGGCAGATCTGCAACGTGATGGCATGTGAAGGTGGGGACCGAGTTGAGCGACACGAGACGCTGAGTCAGTGGCGAGGCCGGATGGACTCGGCCGGGTTCGACCCGGTCCACCTCGGCTCGAACGCGTTCAAGCAGGCTAGCATGCTGCTGGCTCTTTTCGCCGGCGGAGATGGGTATCGGGTGGAGGAGAACAATGGGTCTCTCATGCTTGGGTGGCACACACGGCCGCTCATAGCCACCTCGGCTTGGCAGCTGGCGAGCACAACCGAGTGAATGTGTGAGTCAACTCAGTGTTCAGTAAGCTAGAGAACCGACTCTAAAGAACCTTTGGTGGTGGTGATTGATTGATTGCACCACTGGGCACCCAATGGGGTGCGACACTGTGACCATGTGAGTTGTGACTTGTCAGTAGAGAGAGAGTGGGGACTACAGCCAAAAGTGAAACTGTAAAACCAATCCAATCCAATCGAGTGGTGTAATACTGTGCAGTTGTAATTGCAATGGTGGTTTTTTATGCTTGACGTGGAAGAGCAACTTATATAGACCGGAACCACTGTTACATGACATTCCGATTTAATAGTGCATTGTCATTTAGAGGAAAACTTGAACATGATCATGCATTATTGAATAGGAAGGCTATGTAGTGGTTGATGAGGTTTATGTAAGTCATTTTCCTAATGTCGCTCCTGGTCAGATTTCTGCTCGTATTTAAGTTTTCTAGGGTTTTTTTTTTTTTTTTTTTTTTTTTTTTTTTTTTTGTAGGCCCGTCTGCATAATTTCAAGTTGAAGAGTTCTTCCAACAAGGGGGATCAATGAATCATTGAGAGAATGTGTAATTATCTTTCTTTCTTGAATAAAAATGATGAGCATTGATTCTTGAATGTGAAAGAAAGCATTTTGCCTTCTCTGCAAATTTGACATTCTTATCATCTATAGCCGAGAAGGCTTAGTACTGGTTTGGTATTGAAGTACTTTTATAAAAAATGAGTATAAAAAAAAACTCAGCTAAAAAAGATATTTGATAAACACTTAAAAACAGTTTATTTTCACAATTTTGGATGAAAAAAAGCTGAAAACGTGAAGTAGCAAAAGTGAGCTTATCCTCACAGCACAACAGAAGCAGTTTTTTTCAAAGCACAGCAATATCAAACCAGCCCTTAGATGGACGAGTATGTTGCCATTGGGACGTCTCTTTTCAATAACATCATGTCACGTGGAGTAAGATTACATTGTATTATTGATTCTTGAACGAGAAATAAAGCATTTTGCTTTCTCTGTAAATTTGACACATTTTCATAATCTATCCAGTATAAGCGGCCCCGTTCGTTTAGCTCACAGCAATCCAATTAGTTCTTCGGATGGAAAAACATTAGACATTCTATTTTCTGAAACCAACACTTTTGATGTTATTTAACGTACACTAATTTCTACATGTCTATTATAGATTTGCTTAGATGTACTAAGAATGTTGTCATTGTGGTATCTCTGTTCAATAACATCATACCATGTACAGTAAGAATAACAACGGTATTGTATTGTTGAACTGAGAATCGTGTGTCGGTGTAACCAATCCATCTAAGTTGTCTTCCCTGCATAAGCGTAGGGTGGGCTTAGCTGATGTTGATGATTCTGAAGATAGAAACATGGCCTGGATATGCTATGTCACCATCTGAAAGAGAAACTGCAGGTGACACAAGCATGATAAATATTATAGCAAATTGCTCCTGGTTTTAAGTTGGACTCAGTTTTGTGTTTTGTTTTCTTGTTTATCCGTCTTTGAAGTGGATATATATAAGTGGCAACTTGCATTTTGTTACGTTGCAAAAAATTACGGTTTCCGATATTACCTTTTTATGTGAGGAGCAAAAGTATTTGAATATTTTACAGATTAGTTAACCAAATCCTCCCAACAGTTGCTTTCTGTGCCTCGGAATTGCCCCGACATGTTTTTTTACCCATGAAATGCCAACTCAAATCAAAGGTAAATTTTTGAATGGTTGGCTGACTAGGAATTCAAGGATTTGTAAGCTGAGTGTAAATCTATTTGGATACTACGAAAGCACATGTAAAGTTAGAGACTCCCGGTTCAAGATCTAAAGAGCTTTCTGATGCTTGAGTGAGCAATCGTGTTCATTTTTATTCAATATCTTCAAAGAATTTGTCGAGTCTTTAGGTGGCTTAGGGCTCATTTGAAAGTGTTTTTACAATGATTGAAATTATCTTTAGAGAAAATATTTTTGGATTCTAAAAGCATTTGAAGTACTTTAAGAAAGAAGCAACAATTAATGATTTTGGGTGTGATTTTGGTATTTAGATAAAGATAGGGTTATGAGAAAAATTTAATCCAAACTGCACGATTTCATTAAAACTGATCTAACGGCTCATCGTGTGATTAAAAAAAATTGAGAATCTCTTCTCTTAAAGGGTCTATATATGATATTGTGGTTTATATAAGAGTAAAATGTCAAGAATCCCTCAGTGAATTTTTGGGGATTTTTTATAAATAAAAATATGAACATTGTCTTATATTTTTTGGCCAAATGTAATAAGAAGGCTATGTGTAATGGGAAAGGATTCGGAGAGGATCCTTTCCACCAAGTTCATCAAGGCACACAATCTGGGCCTTTGAAATTTGATCCAACGGCTAAAGTTGTTATAATTTTTAAAGTGGGTCTCTGTTTGTAGCCGTTGGATCAAATTTCAAAGATTCGGATTGTGTGCCTTGGTGGACTTGGTAGAAAGAATCCTCTTTGGATCCTTTCCCATGTGTAAACCAAATAAGAAGTAGGTATAGGTAAACCCTAATCTAATATTTAACTAGTACTAAATGATGATCATTCCTAATGCAGGACAGAGGCCCGGTTGGTGGTCTGGATGAGATTGAGCCTTAGAGATATGATTGGATCGGCAGGGACATGGAAGACAAGACTTGTAATCTATGCACAAGGATAGGTTAGATAACCCACTTTATTGTGGATTCATAACTCATCATGTCTAATTAGGGCCAGTCCAGAGATTTTTGAGGCTTGGGGCGACGCCAAAAAATTTGTCCTCACTTCATATAAAAAAAATATTTGTTTTTACACGTAGGACATTGATAAAATTATATTTAGAAAAGCACTTCAAACTTAGTAATTTAGAAACACAAAAAAATTAATTTTTTTTTGTATCGAGAGAAGGAAACCAAGAAACTTCAGGCTTACAAGTAGGTAGATTATGAGTTTTGTCTTCCATCTAAACTTTTAAAGTGCTTTTGTATAAATCATGAGATGTTTTTTTTTATTTACTAACCTCGTCAATATAAGAATAAAAAAATAATGATATTTTCAAGTCTTTAGGGATATGTATAAGTAATGAATGGGCACCAAATTAAACATTTTGATAATATATTTAGTCTAAAAATTTAATATACGCATTCCCCTTTGTTGAAGATTAGACTTGAATTGGAACGGATGTTTAAAAATAGCAACCCACATAGTTACTAGCTAGTAATTAAAAATAAATTAACAGCCAAACAAAAATTTGTAAAAATTGAAAAAAATAAACATGCACATAGCATTTTGAACTTAGGACCTCTCGTTAATTTTAAATACAAAAACCATTGCTTCTAAATAAACTTCTAATCATTTAGCCAAATTTTATAAATTTATACTATTATGAGAAGAAATTTGTAAAAATTGGAATTTAAATAAGCATACATGGTGTTTTGAACCCAAAACCTCCTCATTAAATTGAAGGGAACTTTAACGAAAAACCATATTTTTACACTAAAATGTCAATCCTGGTACTATTCACTTTACTCTTTATTTTGTCTTTATCGTTAAAACTCAAAGTTTTCAAGTCATTTTCATTAGTTTTTCTTAAATCGAAACAACAAAATCATAGGTTATAGTTAAATTTCTTTGTCATTAAACCAAATTTTATAAATTTATACTCTTACAAAAATGTATATTATGCCACACTAATAATTTTGGTGCCCCTAATTTTTTTGGACCCCAAACGGTCGTCCTGCCTGCGCTGGGCTTGGGTCGGCCCTATGTCTAATCATGTTTATCTCATTACCCTTTGTTGAAGATTAGACTTGAATTGGAACAGATGTTTAAAAATAGCAACCCACATACTTACTAGCTAGTAATTAAAAATAAATTAACAACCAAACAAAAATTCGTAAAAATTACAAAAAAATAAACTTGCACATAGCATTTCGAACTCAGGACCTCTCGTTAATTTTAAATACAAAAACCATCACTTCTAATTAAACTTCTAATTATTGAGCCAAATTTTGTAAATTTATACTGTTATGAGAAGAAATTTGTAAAAATTGGAATTCAAATAAGTACACATGGTGTTTTGAACCCAAAACCTCCTCATTAAATTCAAACAACAAAATCATAGGTTCTAGTTAAATTTCTTTGTCATTAAACCAAATTTTGTAAATTTATACACTTATGAAAATGTATATAAATATGCCACACTAATTGACACACCTCGATCCAAAAATTGGGGTGTGCTGGCCGTCATGTGAGGGTGACGTAGCCAAGTGCGCAATGCAGAAGTAGAAGAGTGAAAATACGGGGAAAATAAAGTCGACAAGATAATTTACAATAAAAGATTAGTGAGTACTAGTGACAAACATGGAAGGAGAAAGGCAAAGTAGAAGTTCAAGTATCCTAGGTGCAGTCCAGAAAAAAAAAAAAAACACTACACAAGCGTTAACTAGAAAGTCCTACATGGAGGGTGCTCTGTCAGAACTGCCTCGATGCCTCTTTCGTCACCCACGTCCTCGCTACCTAAAACCTGGAGGGGCGTAAACAGAAAACGTGAGTGGGTAAAAACAAAGCTTTTCAAAATCATTTCATTCTCAAAAGTTATAACCCCTTTTTGTAAAACCTGTATACTTTCCAGAAAATACCATACGTACTCGTATGTCAAATCATGCTAAAACGATAAAGCTCAAATATGCCATGTCAGAATATGCCGCGTCAGAATATCCAAACAAATAGTGTAAACATCAAGCAGGTGAGATAAAACAAATCATAATATGCTAATAATATCAGTACGTCAGCCGGAGTAACCTAAAGTGACTTGTACGGTTGAAACTATAGCTCCTCAACCACTATCTTGCACACGAGTTGGAACCACCTATAGTGGTCTCTACGACAGGTTGGTGTATATAAATACGCTCAGTGCTACGATCACGTGAAGGCTGTGCGATGTATCACAAGTCACCTACGAGTCGGAACTACCTAAAGTGATCTGTACGACAGGCTGACACCTGCCTTGGATCCAAGGTGAGCGTACGGTGCGGGAGGTGAACAATCACGTGAAGGCTAGGCCCTACTTTGGCAGAGCACAATCACCGAGGTGCAGGAATATAAGCTATAACTCAATCTCATCAACACCACGTCTATCACTAACAACCATACTCACCTGACTTACCTGAGTGTCCGCGGCACCAAAGCATAACCAACACAATCATAATAATAATAACGATGATATTCGACATGACATTTCAATTATAAAACCATTAAAACGTAATTTCTGGAAAGATACCAATCAATATATATATATATATATACTGAAAACAAAAGCCCACTCACTGATATGTAGAAGGATCGTAAGCCCTGAGCCTCGCGTGGCTGCGCTCGTCCTCCTGGTAGTCCTCACCTATATGCGAAACAACTATAAAAATGTCAAATTAATGCACATAACCAACCTTAGGTAATAACTTCTCATACATTGCTCAAATGGGGTGTTTGAATATACCAACGTGCTCTACTCAACCTCACGAACATCCCCATATTTTAAAAATAATTTTCTGACCTCTCACACGCCGCCACATGTTGGCCACGTGCGGGCACGTGCCTGGCAGGCGTGTCCA